TGTTTTTAGGCCCTGCACATCTGGTCTTCTAATTTTATATGCCACCCATCATGGTCATCATTATTCACTAAACCAGCAAACGTATTTCCAAATGATCTCATTTGGATATGTCATTAGAAGCAGAAATACAAGAAGTTCCTCTTCTGTAGAATAGAAACTCTGTCATTTGGAAACACATTGTGTGGCTCCAGTACCTGTGATATTTCCTCCTCCTGCTTCAGGAAAGAGTAAGAAGATTGCAGATGAGAGGTCAGTCTAGGCTGATGGTAGAAGGTATAAACAGGTTGCATCTAAGGTATTCTCCAGACCAGAATGGGCCATGCTGCCTTTAAAGAAAGGGCCAAACTCACTGACAGGACACATGGTTTCATGTAGAAGGCATAATCACCAACATGTGGTAGCAGGAAAGGCTCTCCTATAAATCCAGAGGGTCGCCGCCAGTGGTGTAGCTGACCCTGTGCTAGATAAACAAAAGAGCTGAACCAGAATAGAATATCATAAGCTATACAGAAAGGCAGGATAGTTTAATGAATAACACATTGGATTAGGTTTAATTCACACAATCAGATAATAATTAAAGGGTCTTATAAGAGTGATTAATTCAGTGTGGTACAGTGTCTATATGAGGGTGTTTATGAGACATATTCATTCATAAGATGGTTTAGTAGCAAACGTGCACTGCTGTTCCCCTATTGGCTCCTCTTCCAAGAGGTGGGAACTATGTGGCTTCTAAACCATCAATCCAAGGATTTTGTTTTATTTTACTAATCAACAAAAGAGAAGTACAAATACATACAACCGCAACAAGGGATCAACACAACCGCCAAATGGATAAACATAACAATTAAAAAATGGAAAAAAGAAAGAAAAGGTCTGGAAATTATGTTATAAAAGAAAGAAAAGGTCTGGAAATTATGTTATAAACAGAGCAATTCCAAAACCTTTGAGCATATTACTCAAGTCTTCGTCTTTGCCTCTTGGTTGGAAAAAGATTAATTCAAATGTTGATAAACAACATGGCTCAACAATCCAGGACTGCATTTCAGGTGTAGACCTTTCCTTCCAGTGTAATATAATACTGTAACCATTTTAATCCATTCCCATACCCCATGCCATTATTTATATCTTGATAGCTGCCAAATACTGGTTACATAACCAAGCAGGACATATATGACTTAGCGTGTAGCATGTGTTCCAGTTGATAGTGTAACATTCGGCAAAAATAGGTCAAGGCGAAATCATGTGAGTTAATGTTGCAACTCCTGAGTTACATTCCATCAAGAGGAAGATTATAACCAGCCCTTATCCAGTTTGACATGAATAAAGTGTATTTTCTGCATGCATGACATAGACCAATGTTTCTAACCTTGGCACTTTCAAGGTGTGTAGACTTCAACTCCCAGATTCCCCAGCCAGCATCAAAGGTGAAAGTTGAAGTCCACATGTCTCAAAGTTGTCAAGGTTGAGAAACACTGACATAGACTATTTCTGGAAGCTACAAACCATGATGCAGGCATTAGAAACTTACTGAAACTGAAAGTGTCAGTAATGTGAAATCATGTTCAACAACTTCTAAGAAAGTATCTCCAACTAGACACTTTCCATATTTGTTGGCAATTCCAGAAAAAAGCTAAAGAAAACATAGGTGAGAACCCTTTGCTTTCCAGATGTCAATGAACTCTAATTCCACCATTGCCAACAATGAAGAATGCTGGGCGTAATAGTTCAGCAAAATCAGGAGAGCCTCCGATTCTATACTGCAACCTTCCTCAGCCTAGCTAGGCTGGTTGGGAATTCTAATATTTGTTTATTCATTTTTACAAAAGATTAGTTGTACTTATTGCAGTTTAGGGGATCAAAAATAAAAGCCCCCCCCCCCACAAATCTCATACCCAGACAAGTGAAACACATATAGTATGCAAATGAAGTCAAAACCAATGGCATTAACAATTGTTTCTTATGTTCTTTGACAAGAATTTGTCCACTGTCAATAATACTCCTGAAATATTATCTGGTAAGGAATATTTTAATATAAAAATGATCAGACCTTACTGGTAACATAGCTTACAGTGAGTAGTCATTTTCTGAGGAGCTTCAAAATAAAAATTATGGAGTATCTTATCTTTCTTAGGCTGATGCAATACCAAATGTTAAGTGTTGGTCTCCTTCATCTCTATTTGCTTCTATAGTGCTTCGAAGAGTTGTGTTTTTGGACATTGGCTATTTGGGTGGATCTGGGCTTGGGCCTGTCATTGTGCTAAAATCTTGAACTATGAGATACCTGAAGATATAACTTTGGAAAAGTTAAAAACTACAATAAAAGACAAAATAAACCATCAAAAGGGGAAACATTAACTTTCTCTTTATTCCCCTGTATATGAGATTAATGTTAGTTCAGAGCAGCAAGCTAACCTATTTTCGATAGTCAAGTTGGACAAAAAATAGTTTTCAGTATTAAGGCATAATTCTATGGCAGCAATGTGTGATGAGTGTTTGACGGTCAGTGGGGTGTAAGGGAGGGTGTGAGGTGGGGATGAAAACAGTGGAAATAGGCAAAGACTAATAGTTATAAGTAAAGCTAATCAGAATAGAGTTGTATGTGTATAATTAAATTATGTGTAATTACAACCAGTGTATTGCTGAGAGATTATACTATGCCTCTGATGTTGGAAGTCATATGTGATTTTAGCCGCCCCAGGCATATGGTAATCCTCTTACAAAATACAAAGAGGATCTGCAGCAAAATCTTGCATTGTATGCCCACAAAATTGCAACTAAGTTATGTTTTTGCTAGCCCATCATACTCTCTTTTATTATAAATTAAAATTAGGCTTGTGAGGTCACTTGATCTTTTGATTGGAGCCTCAAAGTCCATTGTATACACAAGAGGAGATCCAGAGAACAGGCCAGCCTTTAGAATTAAGGACCAGGCCATTTCTGAGCAAAAATCAGAGTACCAAAACTGACCTCCAACTTTGTTCCCAAGAAACTAGTTTTTTAGAACTGAGCCTGTAGGATAGCAAAGTTAGACATAACGTCCATTTTTTTTTTTTTTTTTAAAGCAAGAAGATTAAATGCAACTTCAGATAATTCTCAACTAGCATCTCTCCCATCTCCTGAGTCTGACTCTTTCATGTTCTAGCAATTTTCTGTAAAGATAATTATAATTCATTGTTCACAGATCTGACTTTGAAGGTGACCAGAGGCTTGAACTAATATAAAAGCAGAGAATGGAATCCTAAGTCATTATGATCATATTTTTGCTAAATATACTCACCTACACGGTCATCTGATTCATTTCTGAGCATAACTCTCAAAGTGTTAATTTTACCCTGTAATGTACTCGGTTTAGGATTTCAGTTTCTGGTGGAATAACTCTTCCCGTATGCATTTCTTCTTACCTTAAGGTATCTCTTTAAGTCTTCAAGTGTTTCCTTATTCTGAAGTAGTGATGCTGACAAGACCTTTAGAGCAGTGTTGTCCAAACTTGGCCACTTTAAGAAGAGTGGACTTCAACTCCCAGAATTC